TTTGCTGTTTTCCTCAGTGGTGGTGACAAGAGGAGTCATCAGTTCCCAGTAGTAAAATAAATAACATTGAGGTCTGGGATGCTTGAGGAAGTCCCCTAAAACTATCCATCTAGGGACCGAGATGATTACAGATTTCCAGTCTTTAAATGCAGCTTACTGAACCTCATCTCCCTTCCACATGCTCTGGAGACTGTTGATGTAGGTGTGCCCTGTGATAGACTGAAGCTATTTCTATCCCGGCGCCCTAGTATCTGATGTTCAGTTCTTCAAAATGCCATTAGTTCACTGGAATGACTTCAGTTCTATTGGCAATGCTAATTCCATGCTCATACAAACCAAAGGCCACTCAAGATAAGCTGATTTTTGTTTATTATCTGACAAGATTCAAGATTACTCTAAACAGATTTGGGTATGTCTCCTTTCCATGTAATGGTATTGGATTTCTCAGTTTAACCATCCAAGCTGAATGTCTCTTGTGTGATATATTTATATATGAAATAAAAGCCATGCATGATTTAAAATTACTACCATAGTTTACAAAAGGGTCTATGTAATTGTGCAGGCTTAAACCATTGGTAAATGAAAGGTTGGCGTGAATAATCACACATTCACTTGAGCTAAAACTCGTTCCAAATGCAAATCCAAAGACCTGCTTCTCTTTTCCCACTTGATTAATTTGTTCACACCAGCATTACTGACGGCACGTCACCAGAATCATGTCAGGCAGGTCTGGGCAGGTCTGAATCAATATGGTCCTTCACTGTTATTGCCTTGTCGTTAGCAATCAGATATCAGGCAAGACTGAAATCTTAAGAATAAACTTCCAAAGAGAAATGAACGTCTATCTCACAAAATTATATTACAAAGAGTGGAACTAATTAGAACCTACACCTGTATTGATGTCTGTGATTATTTATGTTGTGAGACATGTATTATTGTTAATGTGTTTATTTTCTGATACTAGAACAGAACTTTGCACACAAAAAAATGTTAGGGCACATGACAGTGTCTTTTAAGAGAGCTGGCATCACTTTCTAGACCATTTGACATGGAACTAAAATTTACATCATCAGAAAATGATGCTGTCATTCTAGACTTTAGTACTGACCACTGATTCTGGATTTTAATATTGGGCACTAATTATAGACTTTAGTACTGACCACTGATTCTGTATTTTAGTATTGGGTACTAATTCTAGACTTTAGTACTGACCACTGATTCTGGATTTTAGTATTGGGTACTAATTCTAGATTTTAGTACTGAGTAATTCAATACCTGCATCTGTTTTGGTCACTATTCATCTTAGTTTTCTGACACTTTCTGTTTTTATTTATTTCATTGTTTCTGTTTTTATTTATTATTTTTTTTGTATGTGGTGTTGTATTGTGTGTATTTATGTGTGTCTACATATACTTGTTAGTGTGGGTGTGTGCATGCAGGAGATAGTATGTCTCCTTGAATGGGAAACTCATTGATTTGGCTAGGCTGGCTGGACAATGATCTTCAGGGATTTGCCTATCGCCACTCCCATCCCCATCCCAATGCTGGAGTTCCAGGCATGAACTGTCATGCCTGACATCTCATGTGAGTTCTGGGGATCAGAGCTCAGCTCCTTGTGCTTACACAGCAGGCATTTTACTGACTGAGCCATCTTTTCAGACTCTTGGCCCTTAAAAATCATTTTCAAATTAGTCTTTCTTTATATCAACAGCTTAGTTTTCCATCTCATGAGTGTGACAGGAGACAAACAGCCTCTAGCACTGGCCTTAAAAAGGACTGGTCCTAGGGCATGGGCCACACCTCCAAAGAGAGGTGTGCCAAGAGCAGTTAGAAGGCAGGTCTTTAAAACCCTGTGAACACTTTTAATATATTATCACTCCTCTGGGAACCAGCGACTTCTCTTCCCACTTCAGAAAACACGTAATGGGACCTGGTGTTTCAATTTAACGTCCCTTGAAAAACGGAAATCTTTTCCTTTATAAGGAAAAAAAGAAAACAAAAGAAAACAAAACAAAAAAAAAAACAGAACAGAGGAAAGGCAAGGCAAAACAGGAACGAATCAGGCAGTCTCCAAAGCACACTGGCTCAACTGGGAACCAGCGACCAAAGTAAGCCCTGTAATAGTGTAATGACCTTTAATGAGTGTCTTGGGAAACAATACAGCCCCAGCATAAAAGACAAAGGGCAAAACCCATCAAGGCTCTGCTGACACTAATTCAAAATGATCTTCAGAACAACTAAAGAATGTAAGAGAAGTAATCTGATCTGCCCATCTGACCTCACTTTGATTCCGGGGCCCTTCTCCTGCCATTTCTAATTGTCAAACCCTCTCCGTTCCACGTCTGCTCATATTTAATGAAAACTCCACTCTCACCACCACTCTCTGAGTCAATTCACTCTGTCAAACGGGTACCACCCATCCCACCACCCGCATGGGATGCCCACAGATCGCTGTGGCACATTGCCAGCAGGATTCAGCAGAGAGGGGTTTTTAATTGGGGAAGAAGGGCTGACGTGGTTTCACGAGGGAGCTCAACTTGGAATGGATTTCTCTAACTTATTATTAGTGGTCAAAGGTGAGTGGTCTCACACAGAGCTGGACGGAATCTGCCATTGTTTGAAGTGAAGATGGCAGAAGAGGATGAAACAGAGAAGGCAAGTCGCCCCCTGAGCTGTCAATACCACTTAAGGGCCCAAGCATGATATCCTTCATAGTGGGGGCTGGGAAGGAGGGGCAGGAAGGACAACAATGTTGGGAACAAGGTGTTTCTGAGAGGATGGGACAATGCCATCCCAAGGTTTTCTTCTCCTGGCCTCTATCAATGCCTGGATTAAACTGCAGAGCTAAGAAATCCCTCTAATTATGGTTTCTCTTGGATAAAATGGAAATTACACATACTGGACACCAGGAGCCTCGAACGGGGACACAGATTTTGTTGTGATTGGTATGGCTGGCCAGCGCCAAGACATGACCGCAGTACCCTAGCTTAGAGCCAGACTGGCTCCTTAATTTTTTTCCACTGACTCTGTGGCCAAGGTTTTAGAGTGTAGTGGTTACTTGAGAACAGAAGAAGTTATGCCTTAAGCAAGAAAGGGTTGGCAGTCACATCTACCAGTGCCACTTAAAGAGATGTGGCCCAACAGTGCCACCACAGCTTGCCCCTCTGTCTTCCTCTCCAGCTCATCTTTGAACCTGATGACTTGCTATACCTCACAGACAGATTCCTGGTGTATCTATGACCTGGGTCATCTGGGTTCCATAGCATATGAATGAAAAGAACCATTGCAGAGAAAATAAAGGACTAAGGACTCATACTGTGGCATCTGTAAGGAAGGTTTTAAAGGGAACTTCCTTTCTAAGATTTTAGATCAAGGTCATTGGCACAGACCATTATCCCTCTCAACACAATCCCCCTAAAGTATCACCTTTAAGTCGATTTTGTTCTTTGGCACTTCTAAAGGAACAGTGAATTGTCAATCAGAAAGGATGATTTTTCTGGTCCTAGATCAAAGTTCTAAATGCTTTCAATATATAGTTCAACAGACTACTGAACATCAGCCCCTGGCATGGCTTACCAGTCTGCATATAGTGAAGTTAGGGCTCCCTCACTCCCTCATGCTGGAAATCCCTAAAGGTCACAATGACACAAGTGCACTATGCCGGGATTACCTTCACCAAGGGCATGGCACGTGCCTTTCTGACAGGAGCAGATGCTCAAAACTAAGTGCTCCTTTTCTTCCTGGGGTGTGAACTAAACTCCCCCCACTGGTAAAACTTTAATTCAACCATTCCTGATTAATTAGGAGAAGAGAGGATGGATGAATGGCATTGTAACCATCAATAAATGCAATAGATTCTTTAAAGAGGGAAGGATGAAACACAGAAAGAATAATTGTCTCCTACTTGCTATAGACCAAAAATGTAAAGTCAAGGTCATGGGTGCTCTTTAAGTGTATCCAAGACCTCAAGAAGAATAGAAGCTTTTTGGCAAATGGATAAAGATGTACATCCTAGCATCTCAAACTGGAGCATTCGGTAATGCCACCTATAGATTGTGTCAGCAAAACAACAAAATCTGTGCAGAAAACCTAGATGAGAGTGATTTCAGGAATTTGGTCCATCAGCCTCACCAGCTGACAACCGCAGGACTGTGACAGGTTCTTTGACATCTCTGACCTTGTGGGTGACAAAGGCCTGTGCTATAGATTAAAGGAAATCTTGGAGAGTCGTGATTTGAATCTTCTGTTACTTAGATTCTTGAGAGCTGCAAGATACCTTTGTTAAGTGAGACCATATTGTTGAAAGAAATATAAAATGTTAACAAGTGTTTGTGGACCCTCCTTGGAATGAGTCAACTATTTGAAAGGAAATTCTAGAATCATTATCATCTATGATGACTGGTGGATTTAAAAATAACCTTTTTGAGAACTGGGGCCAAAATCTAAATCTAGCACTGGAGAATGACACTCAGGTTAGGACACAGAAAAAAATATACATTACCACACACACACACACACACACACACACACATATACACACACAAACATACATCTGCATCTAAATTTTGCATTTTGGAATGCTAGAATAACCTTGCTATTTCCATTCCTTTTCCTTCTTCATTTTGACCCAACCCAATTTATAGTCAGTTCTCAAATATGATGATCCATATTCTTGTGTATCTCTGTATTAATATGGTACTTACTATGCTCTCACTTTCATTTCCATTTCCATTTATTTAAACAAGAGAGAGGAAGACTATCAGCAAGTTGTTATATGTCAGTCTTGTTCACTGTTGCAAGAAGCTCAAAACAAGATCAGAAAGGAGACCCTCCTCAGCACGTACACACAGACATAAGCGGCACACCACCACACACGAGACCACATTGGGAAGGCAACACCAGCCGGATGGACTCACAGAACCACAGGGCACAACACAAGACAGGGCCAATACCACAGACGGGCACAGACATGGAAGTGCGTATGTCGAGGTTAAACTTACAGGCACGGAAACTGGTGGCGCAATCATTAACAGAGACAGAAGAAAGCGGGAAGGTTCTCTCAGGGGTGTCCACGTTACCACGCACACGGCCTGACATGCATGAGCAGTCACGCTCAGAACGTCCGCAATCAAAACAACATGCTCGGCTCATTCTCTTGTAGATGGACGTCTTGGCTATAACCATGTGGTTGGATGGGAGGAGAGGAAGAGCGGCAGTTAATGGCAAGGTCACATACAGCAAGGCGGCTGGCAGGGCACTGGAGGGATTGAACACAGGTCTTAGTTCACATTAACAGTCTTGACCCAGAAAAAAAATGCAGAGTGATTGTTGGTAACAGTTTGGTTTACATCAAAAAAGCTGTGAAAATATAAATTGCCTTTATCGTCCCCCAAGGCTGCTGTGTATTTTTCTCCCCTCGTGGAGCGGTGACCACAGGAAAAGGGCAGGGCTGAAATACAGTCTAGTTCTTGGATGAAAAGAAGAGCAAATTATAGACAGCAAAAAAGTAACCAACATTTTCCCCGGCACAATTAATGCAGGAGGACAAAAAGAAAAAAAAAAAAAAGACACATGGCCAATCGATTAAATGAATTGCTTATTGGGTACAATAAATGGTTTTTGCAGGATGCAAACATATCTAATTCATAGGCTTTCTCATTTCCATCTATTTCTGGGCATTAGGCAGGGCTTGGGACAAGCTTCCATCAAATTAAATGTGAAACGATTACGTGTTAATATCAAATCTGAGGATGCCTTTGCTGAACTTCCCCAGAGTGAGTTTACATGATAGCTACAGGAATTTAAATTTACTCTTGACAGAACAAATATCCAAATCTGTCCATATAATAAATGCCGCTACTCAAGGCTATCGCTGAGGATTTGACATTAAAGGAAGTTCACAAATAAGAAATCACCGAAAGCAATATGGGATGTTGGACTATTGGAATGCATTTAGCTACTCATGGGTATATTTTCTATTTGAGATGAATCTGAAAATCACCTCTGCCTGCCTCTCCCCACCCACCACAAATTCAAAAGGCAATTAGTCTGTTTAATCATATTTATCTTATGCAGAAAATATTGGCCAAGATAGATTAAAAGGACAAGACATGAAATATTTCTCATGTGAAATATCTTACAGGCATTTGCGGGCTGCCTTGAGAGCTCTCCTAAGGCTGGCATAGTTTGAAGGCTTGGTACTGTCCAAGACACCACCTCAAGTGCCGACCTGCAAAGCTAATGTCACCATAGTTGCTTGCAATGCCCTTCACTTTTACCCTTCTGGTCAATTTATATTTCAGTACAAGAGAAGCCTTTTGTACCTCATTTTGATGTTCCAACAGCCAAACATGTTTGCTTATCACTTAGCATGAACCGGCCAGCTCTTCTCATAGGGTGGCAGAAGAATTCATATTTCTTCCAAGCATCATAGCAAAACATTGAACTTGAACCAGAGAGGTGTTATACCCTACATCCACACCTTCCATTTGGGAAGTCATGCACCGCCCCCCCAACACACACACACCCTTTTCCTTTGCAGAGAATGGTTGTACTCTTATTTTAAAATATGACTTCTGGTTTTGGTCTCTTTGAATGTTACAGTCACCAGGAAAGGGGTTTAAATCTCTCAAATGGGTCAAGTCCTGTTCTAAGACCTTTATAACTTGCCATACAGTATATTTGTCAAGCAAGGGGAACGTTATGATTGTGAAGAACAGGCACTGGGGGAGATGAATGAGAAGTCTCCTCAGCAGCATCTCCATTCCTGTGCACTTGGCTCACATTTTTAGTGACATATTCTTTTAGCATCCTAGCTAAGTCTGTTATTTGGATCAACATGCAACCCCAGCCCTGTTCGATGCACAGTATATCATTCCTTTGAGCTTAGCTTAAAAAAAAAATCCACTATAGCATTTGAGTCAGAGGAATTCACAAGGCATGCCTGAATGCCCAAGCTACCCCCCCCCCGCCATCAACAGCAGCAGCTGAAGTCAAGAAAGGGGGAAAAGAAAGTCTTCAATAGAAGACGTGAAAGTAAATTCATTTAAAATACATCCGGATCTGGTGCCCAACTTGGAGAACCAATCCCTTGTTTTTCCTTTCTTAATTCTTTAACTTGAAGTACTGATTTGCTATTTACAAAGAAGAGAACAATGAAGAGCATTTTTTTGTGTGTCACTGTAGATAAATTGTTTTGAAAGTATTTTTTTACATCAAATGCTGTAGCAGAGAATCCCATCAAACTCAGAAATGCTATGTTTCTCATTAGCAACAGTCCCTGGTTTTCATTTCCGTACTTCCATTTCGGGTTCATGAACAATAATAGAATGTGACACATTTATGGGGAAAGAAAGTTCACATATATATATGTGCACATATACACACACACATATATATATATAAATATATACAATCTTTTAGAATAAGGGAAAGGGTGATAGGAACAACTTTGGAAACTTTTTTCAGAAGTCAACCCGTCACAATGGGCAATTGAAGTCTTCTACTTCAGAAGAATTAAGGAGGAAGCATAACATCAGATCTGTGGCTCTCAGGGACTGTTTGCAACTGTCAGTATTGGCTGTTCTGGAAACCATGCATTGTTGTAAAACTCCACATTGTTAGCATGCAGTAACAGGCTGCAACTGGTAAGGAGCCCCATTTGCTATAAGAAGATTAACTGTTAATTATAAGCAGTCGCATTCCAAAGCGGCATATGCATAAGAAAGAAAACATGCTGTTACTTGTCATCCCTTCCCAGTCATTTTTTTTACACTCACACCAAATGCAAAACAGACATAGACACAGACCACACACACACACACACACACACACACACACACACACACCAGGAATGATCAACACAAGGCTCAGAGACAAGACAGAAACAGTAAAAAATGATTGAACCCCACATATTGACACACCTTCATGAATCACGAGAACGTCTAGGACAAAAGCCATCAGTTGAGAACATGGCCCTTTCTCCCTCCCCCCAATCAGATGTCTTCACGTATGTGCTTCTGGGTCCACTTTCTGTAAAGGGAAGGCTGATTCCGACCTTCAATTTGGTGGGACCATGCTTCAGCCTTGAGGGATGTGTGTACAGCTAAGAGATTTCCTTCCTGGCATTATTTAACTCATGGTCAAAGGTTTTGATGAAAACCAGAGTATTTATCTCCCTGACAGTGTTTCAGAAGATATGGACACTGTATAAAATTCTATTCTTGGGTTGTAGAATAAAGTTACATGAACAGTAGATTATAGATCTCCCAACCTGGGAGTTACTTCCTCTTCCTCAACTCTATGACTTCCTAGTCCTTCATTTTTGCTCTAGTGAATTGCAGATGCTCAGAGCCAATAGTACCTACTTTCTATTCTTTGATGATCGTTTTCTTTTCTGGAGCCTATCTGGGTTAGAGCATTCATTTCACGTATCAGAAAGGCACTTAAAACTCCTAAATTTCAAAGACCTACTTGGGACATTTCAGTATTCATTTAAAACAGAAGTAAATTCCTCATCTACTCCTGATCGCACAAAATGCTCTCTCTCCATTGGTGTATGCTGAGTTTCGTTCTTAATAATCCATTGCTCTCTTCCCAAATTCCAAGCCTTGGAGAAAAGGTTTCCCAGGGATTTTTGAAGACAAAACAAAGTAGATCTATGAGGACATCTAGTGGATCTGTGTGGAAGAGCAGCTTCTTAATGGAACGTGAACCTGGACTTGCTGTTTGGTCTTTTCTTTGAAAAGGAAAGAGGGTCTTGCTTCCTCTAAGAATTGAAATGTACACAGAGCCATTTCAATTTAACGGTTGCTCCAATGCATGGATGTTGAGGGGCGTGGAAACAAACCGATGAAGGATCCTAGGAAATGACCCTGGGGTGGTCAGGAGTGGTAACTTGCAAACAGATTGGCTCTGCTGTACCAGCCGATTGGGTCTCCACATGACCTTCCTTATACAGCTTCCTGAGACAGCAAGGAGACCAGAGTGTGTCTCTGCAGGAATGAATACTGTAGCCACTTGTCATTCTGTCTTAGGGCTCTTGGAACTTTATGCTCAATGAACTGCCCCCATAGGCCAACTTAACCCTGGGAAAGCAGAAACACAAGTCTCCGGGGACTCAGTTTTCTCCTTGGCCCACATCGTAAGGTTCTTGTTCTTGGACCAGTGCCATGGTTTCAAGAGATCATGTTGTTGCCAAGAATCAGATCATGGGTCTCGCCTTCCTCTTAAAAAACTACATTTGAGCAGTTTCATAATTTGAAAAGAAAGCTTTTATGTGCTTTTCTTCACCACAATGAAGTAGATATTGATCCAATATTTCCATTATGACTTCCTAGTAGTATTTATAGAAACAAAAATAGAAGTATTTCCCTAATGGATATCATCAAAGCTATCTGTTTACTCTTGAATGTTTAAAATGGAAAGCTTTCTCAGACGTGCATTTGGGCATCTTTCCCTTTATTTTCAAAGGTCAGATCATGAGAAATGAAACGTACTATAAATGTAGCATAGTTACTGCTCTTTCCTTGGGATAAACTGACAGTCAGCTGTCAAACTCAGGTCCTCTGCTGGTTAGCCCTTCTGAGCCAAGCCTGGAATGGGAGGGAGAGTTGGAGCCCATTCTGTCTGTAGCACCATCTGCCTCCTGCATCAGCCACCAAATGGCCAGCCAAGTTGCAATTGCAGAATCTTAATTTCCAGGGTGGATTGGAACGGGGAAGAAAAGCAGCCCTGGACAGGACAGAGAGGTCCAGGTAGGGGTATCCAGCTGCTGGAGGGAAAATACTTTCGATCTCAAAAAGAACAAATGTAAAACTAGGGGAGTGGTGTGGAGGAAAAACAAATCTGCCATTCAGTTAAGGGACATTTTCAGACCACAATCTCACTTTTCGCATCAGTCCAAGGAAGGAAAGTATTATTTCTAAGCACGAAACTGAAGGCTACTCTTCATGTGCTCAGCAGCAACCCAAATTATAAACAAAAATCTCCACCGAAGGAAAGTCCACTGAGATTGGAGTTTGCGGTAGATTGTTTGATGTGACCCTGGGAATCAGAGACTATTCCTTCGAGTCCTATAAATGAGTAATGATGCCTTCCCCTAGCAGTGTTCTTCCTATTGTCTTCTAGAGGAAGAAGGAAGGTCTTCCATGTGGTTTTCCAAGATCAGGAAGAGGTACGGGACAAAGCTAAAGTCAGCAACATGGAGCATACACACAGCTAGTTCTAGCTCACAACAATCACACTGATGCTGGGAATGGTGGGAGTCTAGCACTAGAGTTTGCTGCTTGGCATCATGCGTCCCTCCAGTTGTGAAACAGTGCTAGAGTATTAAATCATTGTTGGTGCAGAAACACCACTTGCTGGATGGAGCCACAGAGTCGATTTCAGCAAAGCTGTGTGTCGCACTGAAGAAGGCGGTGGCTTTGTTTGGGCATTACACTGAGCATACTGTGCCTTCCAAACAATGAGAACTAATGGAAATCAGATGGTCGTTTTGCTTCTTCTGCTGTAAAGGAACATGAGAGGACCAAGTGCTGAAATATCTTCTTTGCATTCCAGATCCATTGAACTCAGTGAGGTATAGACTGGGTCTCACTTCAGTTTCCACAGAGTCTTGTGTTCATAATCAAATACTCTAGGGTGGTGATCAGTGCCACTGAGAGCAACATGGCTGCAAGTCACATGTGGAAAGACCTTAAGAATACCTCAATTCTACATCTGGTCAAAAGCAAGGCATCCTAGGCCTCGGGTAAGCTAGAGAGGCCCAGAGACTTATGCTGGCTTGTTCAGATTCCTATATGGGTCAATAATGAAAAAGACCATTGTCCTTGAGTTAACCAACATTCCTTCCTGAAAGAAGTACATGGATCCTCCAGAACGTCTGCCTAACACTCACAGAGGAACTGGGTAGGTGCTACTTGGTACTGACTGAGAGAGCAACTTTAAAGGAAGGGAACTTCATAGACTGTAGGAAATAATTACCATTGCGGAAATACTTGTCTCCAAGAAGGCAGCTCGGGTACTTATAGTCCCAAAGGAGGTATTCGATTAAATCTCCAGCAAGCACCTTCTTGTATAGCGAGGTATATATACTGTGATAAATGCACTCCTTTCTCTATGAAATATCGCTATGGTTATATATAAAAATATCTATTTTTACATATAAAACTACGGGTGCATATCATATATATATCACAACTCGGGAATATATATGTAGCCTATGTGTTTCCTTCAAGAGAGGAATTCAAGCTCCATAGCGGGGGGTTGGGGGCGCGGAGACCGAGTATAATTTATCAGAGGCAAAGCAAGACAATGACCCCCGATGGATGCGACATCCAAAGCTAGAGTGGTAATTACCCCAGCCTAATGAGTGTTCCTCAAAAGTCCTTCAAGAGAAACACGCCATTGTCAAGGTCTTATTTTCAGATGAAAAAATAAGACAATGTCTGAAGCTGGCTGGAGGCTGGGGGTTGGTGGGTGCATGGAGAGTAGGCTCTGGGCACTCTCTAGTCCCAGGCTCTTCTATAGACTATGTTGGGGCATGAGCGAATTGGGGCATGATGTCACTGCTACATGCAACATGAATACCAAAAATAAAATGAAACTACAGAAAGAAAAAGAAGTATCTCATCTAGAGAAAGACAGGGGGAGCTAGACTCTGGGCTGCTGGGAACCCATTTTACTCACAATAGATCACTACCAGTGTGCAGTTAAAATAGAGTAGGGGCCGTATTCCAAGGCAGCAAAGGGGAAACAAAATAAATCAAAGATATGTCAATGATTAGAAGTGACAGAAAAGTCCTTCAAACACATCAATGTAGACATGACTTGTCCCTTAGGAATCTACCCTTGGCAACCTTTCAGAGGCTAGGAGGGAAGATGTAAATCATTAGACCAGGTTTGTTACATGGAAAAAGAAAATGAATAAATGATAGACACTGAGAGCTTGCTCCTTGGCCAGACGTCTGAAGTGGACTTGCTTCCTGGATGAAGGGGAGCTATGAAGAGATGGAAAGAGATGCAAAAGTTAAACTATACCACCACAGGCTCTGCACAAATGGGATGTCCATACTCCGCAATTCTCTGGATAATATGGCATGAAACGTTGAAGATTACTGAATGGAAGAGAATAGAGATGGTGGGAAGGGGTAGGAAGGGAGGAACTGGGTTGGGGGGAGGAGAGGAAGTTGTTTATAAAGGTTGGAGATTGTCATTAGCTTAGTTCTCTTGAACTTGTATCATTTCAGGGTGAATTACTAATACCTGTACTGGCAGGTTTGCATAAATAACTGGGTGGGTCAATTGTCCCTTTCAAATTAGAACTCCCAGAAATACCCATCAGGTGCCTTAGGGAACCCCAATGAAAGTTTCTCTGCAGCCAAATGTAGCTTCTCCAGTTTCCTCAATGCCTGACCTACATGAGGAGGTTTATATTCAATTATTCATTCTATTCAAATCCTCCCATATACATCTGCATCCTGCCCTCTGGGTGATGGCCTTTTAATTAGGAATAACAACATTTGGACAAATCCGATTGTTATCAAATATTAACCACACAGCCTTGTCACACTGGAGTGGCTTGGCAGAGGCACTGCTTTTGCAGCAACGATGTTTTGCATGTGGAGAGATCATGTATTTCACTAGCTTAGCCTACTGCAAGGGAAATAAACAGAAAGAAGTTATTTTAAATAGCAACATGCCTTTCATAACAGGATGGAACTAAACTTCACAGCTACTTGCCTGCCTAGAACCAAAATGGAAAATACACCCTGGAAGTCAAATCCTTATTGGTCAAGAACTTTAAAAGGGATCTGCCATAATGCACTATGGTGTCCTATGAGGAACATTCTTGTGTCAGAGCAAGAGTTAGGGACATTCTCTCGTCTTTCCTGTCCCATGCTTCCTTCCTGGATGGGTCCCCTATTCAGACACACAGATCTTCTAAACTGAGAGCAGATGATGTCATTTCCTTGACTGGACTCTTTCAGGGTTTTCTAGTATAGGACTGACACTCAGTTTCTTGGTATCATCTTGGCTTTCTTCTACGATCTCAACTTATACTTCCTTCTCCCCAAATGCCATAGACCCCCATCAACCAGCCTTCCACCCATCCCCCAAACACTACAAACTGCCACCTACTTTGGAAGCCATTCCCTTCCTCTTCTCTCTACCTGGACTGTGCCTCAACTTTAATGTTACCTCCTAATGAAGATTCTTCTGACCTGCCAAGCTCTGAAGAAATGGCTTCCCTACAAATTCCTCACGTCCTCAGATGGTTTTTATTTTTTTCCTCTCTTCTTAGCATGGGGGTCTCTATGAATGGATTCATTTGCTGACATGGTATGGATTTGTCTCCCTTTGCTAGATGGAAGGTTTGGAAGGGATCTCATTTACCACTACACTCAAAAACATGTGAATGGCTACTCACTTAGTAAACCATAAGTGTCACTCCACTGATGCTCCCAAGGGATGAATTTCTCTGGCAAATATCTTGGCAAAGATTATGGATCTCAACATCCTCCTCCCTCCTGGCCCTCATCACTATTTTTCCTTACAAAGAGCTCACCCCTACTCTTGTGGCCTGAGGGGATTTCTACAGAAACTTATCTAGACCAAGTACTGCTCATGACTATTTCCCAAGAGACTAAGGGACTTCTTTATGATCAGGCAGTGCCATCTTTGTATCTTACTGGTTTAACATGTTCCCCTCAAGCAGTACAGTGACAAGGTTCTTGCTGCAGTTGGCAGATTTCAGAAGTCGTGCTCTTCTGTCTGGTTTCTGCTTGTGAAAAAGTATTTGATAGGTGGTCATTCATAACTGTGTTCCTACTCATCTGACCCAAGGTCCCCCAGCTCACCCTTCCCTCCTCTAAGAAAGATCAGGGTGCTCAGAGCATAGCACCAAGAAAGGCCTCAGAGGACTTGACTCTAAATGATGGCTATATGACTGTCAACAACCTCATCCTCTTAGTAAAAATGGAAGGGTCACTGCTTCTTGTTGTAAAATGAGGTTAAATATACCTCTTGACAGTGACTAGGGTTATGGTGAAGAACAAAGACACAGTCATGGGAAGACTTTAAAACCCCAAGTCACTATTCCTATGAAAATCATTACTTTCATTTTCTCTAGGGTTCAGGAAAATGCCTATTGGACAAGGCAGTCTAATTACTGCAAAAGGCTCGGCCTTCCCAAAGCAAAGACCACTTTACATCATGGTGTCTATGGAGCTCATAAGCCACTGTTTCTGATTCACCCTGAGAGTCCAAGGGCAAGCTATTATAAAAGACAGTTGAGAGATGCTATTCTGGAAGCTTCTGAGCCCAGTCCAGTCAGGGATGGCCTTCAGAACATTGGTGACTGGTACTGCTGTTGAGGGCAATGGTCTTTCCTAGAGGTGACCTAAGTCTGAGCCTGTAAGAATCCCAATTGAAAGGCAGTCCACTCCTTTGTTTCGGAGACTGGGTCCTAAGACTCACTTTCCCTCTCAGACTCAGTGCAGTCATCTTTATACTTGGAGACCTCCTATCCACTGGAAATCACTATACAAAACTATTCCCTCCTCCGCAGCCATAAGCACCCTACTTTCTGTCTATACCTGACTGTGCCGGGCTGAAGGCATTCACCTCTAGAGAAGGTACTAGGTTCCCACCTGGGTGCTGACTACAGTGAGTTTTTCATCCTCTGATCTAACAAAGGGAGGGCGGTTATTTGTTTCACTTTCTTTTAAACTGCTGGGTGAGACATAAACACATTCAAGAGGTTCAGTGTTTAATGTTTCTCTAGGAAACAGAGAAGGAAAAGGAATTTGGGGACAAGGAAGGAGAACAGGAGGGGAGGAGGGAAAGAAACACTACTTACGCCGTCTGCAGCCGCATTTTTTAATTCTTTTGGGGTCTGTGACGTCATCATGACAGGCCTTGCAGTAAAAAAATGCCCTGGAGAAAGAGAATGGAAAAACTGACAAGTCTTATAATCCACCCAAGTGAAATGAGTACCACATTTCCTCCACGGCGGTGCCAAATTAATGAGACATGCCCGCCTTAATTTCCTTTAATCTTCTGAAAAGTTTAGACATTTGCAGACGGAAATGTTTGTTGTAAGACCATTTATTTCAAACATAGGATTCTGTGATTGGACTTAGTGCTTCTTTTCATAAACTTCCACTTGCAAAGGAAGGGGGAGAAAGGTCACTGGTGTGACATATTGGGTTTGCATTTCTCATTTTTGAGAACAGCACTGAGTGTTAGTCCTTGGGACATATGGACAATCAACCCTGAGCCCTAAACACAATTCTGAAATCCCCACAGTCTAGTTGAATATATATTAAAGGGACACAAGGATGGCATCCCTCAGCCAAATACAAACATTAATTAACCTTGTCACTTGGAAAGCACCTTTCCCCATTGGCCAAAGTGAGTGAGGGTTGAGGGTCCAGGGAGGGAGAGGGGAGCAACAGGAGCTATGAGTCCAGCAGTTCCTTGTCCAACTCTCTCCTGGGATTCAAAGCCCAGTTCACTCCAAAGCTGGCTCGAATCCGTTCCCATTATGTACTGCTCTGTGCACATGTAGTAAATGAGGGTTCTGTTCTTGCTGTAGAACAGAACTCAGCTGACCACTAGAATGGACTGAGCAAAGTAACGGGCAGGCAGAAGGAGTCCCAGAGGAAGCAACCACTATAACAACAAGGTCCCTAATCTGATTTACGTGTCAATCAGGGTCCCAAAGCACACCGGCCATACCAAAGATACTTGGAGAATAACTAAGATGATCCAAGCATCACTTAAGATCAGTATCCAGAGGGATAGTGTAGGGATAGGGGCTGTTCCCTTTCAGCATAGGTGGTCCTCAACTTAGGATGGCGAGAGAGCACAGTCATGCGACCAATCTGTTATTCACTTTCTGCACAAGAGTCAATAAGTGAGACGAGACACTCAACTTTAAAAAATTTATAAAACAGGCTTTGTATTAAATAGTTCAACCCAACTGTAGGCTAGTGTTAAGTGTTTGAACACATTGGGTAGTCTCGGCTAAGTTGTGATGTTCCGTAGGCTAAATGCATTTTTTGGCTTAAGAACTTTTTAAATTCTGATGGGTTTATTGGGATGTAATCCCATCATGAGAATTGAAGCATCTGTACTGGGGAGGTTATAAAATTTATTGGAACAACCTCACAACCTTCTGGATCCAGGAACTTATTTAAAATTTAAAATTTATTGGAACATCCTCACAACCTTCTGGATCTAGGTGGGCTTAACACCTTTACCACTCCTAACACGAAACTGAGTGCCAGGAATAAACAGGGTCATTTCTTAAGGCCAAAGAAATAAACACAATTCTTAACCAATTTATTCCTAGGTGCCTTTACATCTTCACAGGACTTGAATTTCTGGCTGATGCTGGTTGGAAACCAATCTTACTACTTTGGGATCCAGGAGTGGTTACAGAGAGCACGTAGCCAGATCTTGAAGACCTGGTGTCCCCATCTGTAAATTGAGGTTGTCTTGACCTGCCCAAAGCCATCCCGTGTTGCTGGTTGGCTAGCCAGGACTTGTACATCAAGTCCAATGCTCTTTCTATCCAAGGGGATCTTCCGCCATTTCTTTAAATGCCAGTTGTCATCCACTCTTCAAGAAAAGAAAATAAATTATAGCTGACCATTTGCCCTGCATGGCATTGGAGTTAAGAAATCAACTGAAGGTGGTCTGCCTTGAAACACAAGGGACAAGAGGAGGCATCCTCTTACTTGGGACAAGTAAGTTTACACCCACTTCCTTTGGCCATTTTCTTTCTCTTTGGATGCTCTCATGGGTAACAATAATGCAACAGTTATAAAATCTAACATTTTCAAGAGTACAAACTATAGGCCAGGTGTTGTTCTAAGCATCTGATAATCAGTAACACATTTGATCTGCAAACAATACTTGGAAAGAGTTTTGACTGTTATCTCTGTTTCACTGGTAAGAAAACTTAAGCTGGAGAGATTAACTGGCCTGTTTAAGGTCACACCATCTACAGTGGCAGGGTCAGGATTCAAATCCAGGAATGTCTCTACCAGAGAGATGAACAGATAAGCCTGAAAGAATTCAAGTTTCATGTTTATGTTTAGTCTTTAATTTTTAACTTACAAAATCTATTTATTCGTGATACACAACATGATGTTTTGAAATATGTATACATTATGAAATAGCTAAATCAAGCCCACTAGCACGTACTTCTTTATGTATTTATACTTTTGTACATGTGATGAGAACATGTAACATCTACCCTAAAAAAATACTTTTGAAAAGCAATTTCAAATTAAAAAAAAAAAAAAAAAAAAGAATGCTGGGCATGATGGCGCATGCCTTTAAACACAACCCTCAGGAGGCAGAGGCAGGTAGATCTCTGTGAGATCTAGGATACCTGGTCCATATAGTGACATCCAGGCAGGCTGGGACTAGGGAGGCTCTATAAGGGAGGGAGGGAG